TAGGATAGTCTGGAAAAACACATAGGATAATAAATTTTGTTTTTTTTTTTAATTGCATGCGGACGGAGTCGCGGGCGAAAGCTAGTTGTATATAACGTCTCACGAAAATATAAACATTTTAAGTAATAATTTCACCAAAAAAAGATGAAGCCTAATAAATAATATAACGGATGAACAAAAGTTCTATTTGAATATTTGTTGTCTTAGAAACGATTTTTAAATCAAACAAAGACTTTTTTAGCTGCAGTAAGACTGTGAATGTCAATAAATTCAATAAATCTATGTAAACTATTTTTTATTTTTATCTAGTACAAGGTTAAATTGCGTTCCCGAATCAGTCTCACTTATCGGTAAAGTAAAGGTAATAACTTAATTTTATCATTAAAAGTCGGTTAACTTATTTAAAAGTAGCGTTCAAGGCTCAATAGGTTCAGTCTGAAAAACACACATAAGCGAATTACAAAAGCGCCTAAGTAAATCTTGCAGTTGATTTGCACGACTGTATTTTTGCCGCGAATACTAGTTAGGAAATCAAATAAAATAATATATTCAATTCAAAATCGTGTATTTACAAAAAAATTGCATGCCTGTACAAACGTTAGGTCGTGGGTCGTTTGAGTCGCTTAACTATTAAAGCTTCTTACTTCTTGATGTAGGGGAAAGCACCGTAGCCGGACCAGTAGGGAGCGCCGGGAAGAACGGCCGCGGAGTAAGAGGTAGCAAGAGGGGACGACGCCACGTAGGTGGATGCAATCGGAGCAGCGAGGTACGGAGTAGCCCAGGCGGCGGACCTCTTCTTGATGAGATGAGCGGGAGCGATGTAGGAAGAGTACAGAGGGTTACCGTGATACAAACCGGAGGAGTAGGTCAATGCACCGGGGGCAATGTAGGAGCTGTAAGGAGTGATGTAACTGGCAGGAGCAAGGAGACCAGCGGACCTCTTCTTGATCAAATGAGCGTCGAGCACCGAAGCATAAGGAAGGTACGCGTTGGAGTTCAAGTAGTTGTAAGGAGACGCCCAGTTGCTGACGTAGGTCGTTGGTGTTACCACTGCGCTGGGAATGAATTGAGCCTCACGCTTCTTGATGAAGTGGGGGATATCATAGGGGTAGGAAGAGTAGTAGGGGGTGGTGACGACGCTGCTGGCGTGTTTCGTGACGGTGGTAGTCGCCGGGGCGATGTAAGACTCCGAGTAAGGAGTGTACAGGAACTGCGGGTCGGCGACCGCGGCAGCAAAGAGGGCGCACAACACAAACTTGAACATCTTAGAGGTTTTCAGGACGACTGATGCTGATACAACGATACGCGGATTATTTATACTAAATCGGATTTATCGTAGGACAAGATAAGGGGCGTTGTCGCTCAACGAGATACTAAGTGGACCAGGAAGCTGGTATTTACAGACCACAAGGTCATCTAGACCCGGGACAACTCGGAACATCAAACATCTGACAGATTAATCACAAAAAAGGACAAAAAACACGTAACGCCTTCACATTTAGATCGACACCGGTTATCGGTAAGGTAATAAACAATTGACTTTCAATTATAAATTTAATTAATTACAATATCAAGTTTAACTATTGGCAACATTCATAAGGGTGAAAAATGAACAAAAACAATGTGACAGGTGAAGTATTAAAATGGGCTTTTCTATCCCTTCCATATAAAAAGTGAAATCAGTAAAGCCTACAGATGCAACAAACGCAGAAGCAATACTATTGCCACGTAGAATCGTTACTAAGTGACTGTTTTAGCAACAGTTTAAGTACAGCAATTTAAATTTATAACATTTATTTAATAGTCTAATTATTTACTTGTGTCTAGGCACTCGATCTTAGTAGAGTATATTAATTACTTTTTTGGACTTCATTTTAGAAATTTTCCACATCTTGTTGACATTTTGTAAATGTTATACCAACAATGACTAATTACGTGATACTTGTATTAACATATACTTGTCTCTATCTTTTCAAAGAGGGTGAAAGGGATGTCATATACGATCAGGATTTTATATACGTAATTCGATCGCAGTGAACATAACGAGCTATTCGTATAAAAGGGAACTGTAGAAAATAATTCTCTTACTTTGATCTGAATTACTATCAAGTGCAGGATTAATCTTTGTCTCAAATAGGGTATGATTCCACTAGCCAAACTCGGTAAAGAAGTTTTCGGTCAGGATTCTTGGCAGTGGAAACTGACATTATGAATTATTGTCCAGTGTTCGATTTTATAAACTATAATGTAAAATTCGTATTAATTCTTTGTGTGTTACATTAATAATTAAAATCTTTACCAATGTGTACTTAAGTTATATAACTAAGTACTTTACTTTCGCAATAACTTCCATTCGATAATAAAAATTTATTGTTAATTGTTTACACAATCATATTTCAACACTAGCTATAAGATATTGAGTCCTTAGTTATTTATTATTAATCTCTTAAGTTTTTTTTTTATTTTGGGTAATGGTAAAATGTTCTTTTTGTGATTCCCCCCAGGTCGATTTAAAGATAGGCCATACACATATACATGTAGATATTTACAGAAAGCTGTCCCTACGCCATTTCCGTGAATCCTAGTAACCGCTTGCTCTTTTACCACCTTGTAAAATAAAAACGTTTGGTAATAAAACCACAATAAACATATATAGCACAAAGTAATAAACGAGCAAGACACCTAATGTTAGTTACCATATCTTTATAATTTAATAGACGATACATTAAGCGCCTATTCATTTAACAACTTTATTTTTGTTGTACGTTTTAATTGGTAATATACGTTCAGGAGATTTAAAAAAATAATATTAGAAAAAGCCATTTGACACTGAAAATTTAAACCAATATGCAACCCAATACATCTTCAGCTCGTAAACTTTGCCACCAAGGATTTGGAGTGTAGGCTCTTGGAGTGGAGTCAAGGGATAGGCCTAGTCAATCACGCTTTTGGTTTCTAGTCTTTACAGAGTTTTGAATATCCTTGCAGTTAGAGATTACTTCAAAATTATTGCCTTCTAAATAATTTGGATTCTAGATTCAATCAGCCGTTTTATCTATCTATCATATAAAACGCAGTCTGGAAGAACACGTAGGATATTTACTAAGTTTGATTGCGCGCGGACAAAGTAGCTGACAAAAGTTAGTAAATTAAAAATATTAGGCGCAGATTTATTATTCATCTGTGGTACAAATGGTATATCCGGGTCGACTACTGCTTGATATTAAAATTTAATTTATTACGTCCCAAACATAAAGGTGGTTTGATATTGCACGAGGTTGACTCATTAGGAAAGATGTGACCGGCAAAAAAACGATCGTCAGTTGTTGGCCTTACTCATAGCCGTGCTCTCGCCTGCACCGCGCGTTCTGTCAAATACGCGAATTTAGAAAGCTTTAAAAACATATAATACATATTATAAAGCCATTACATTACAATAAACAATTTCATAATCTCAAGTGAAACCTTTCACTAATTTCAGACGACCTTGCAATCGCGCCTTAGTAACACACTGGAGTGCATGCTATTCTAAAGTGGAACTTTCTATACGCCATATTGTCAGGGGTCAGTTCGTTAAAATGTTAAGACTTGCAGTGTTGTGTCTGTTCGCGGTAGCGACATCTAGTGAATTAAAAGACAGTGATATAAGTGGAGCAATATACAGAAAGGACAACCCGTTAAACTGGTACCCTAACACTCATCTAAAAAGATCAATTACAAAACATAGTGTAGAATCTATTCCACATTTAATTACCAGAAGGTCAATATCTTTCGATCCACCGAAGTCTTATGTTCCAGCGACACCATACGCGGCTTCATTCTACGCACCTCCAACACTTCGGTATTCATATTCTTCGCCGTTACTTCCTAAAGGACCTTTTGTATCCGCATATACTGCTCCAGCACATTATATAAACAAAAGACTATCTTATTTACCTCAACCAACGATGTTCTCTACTGTACCAAGTTCTTTGGTCCCATTTCCAATGCCTTTATATGTAATCAAGAAAAGAAATGTACCAGATTTTAAAGAATAAATTTGCAGCCTAAACTGCTTGTTTATGCTAAGTGTAAATAAATGAAGATAATGTCTTTATGACTTTTATTTCTAACCTATAACTAGAAACCGGTTTGATAATTTCGAATTAATATTGGGTATTTTCAGATGTAGTTAAGCGAGTTTGTCTATTCGAATGTGTAGACTAAAATATTATAAATCTTATCTACCTTTGCCCTTTAACATTCGTGACTTTAAAAGGGTGGTTTTTCAATTTTTTTTAATAAACACTTATTCGTATCCTAAACACTTCGATAGACAATTTCACGTAATCTTGCAAAAACGTATGTAACAATGCACTTTTAGCAATTTATACAGATTGTGTTCTCAATTTTTAAGCATTATTTCGCGTAAAGAAATTATTTTTAAACTAGCTGTTCCCATGCGACTTCATCTGCATAGAGTTATCCGCATAAAGTTATAAAAAAATATCAAACCATGGCAACCTTGCTTCCTTGATGTTGGCAACAACTTATGTGGGAAAGAGACACATTAGTGTTTTTATCAAAAATATTTACCCCTAAGTTTATTGGCGTGAAAATATATAGCCTAAAGCGTGACGTAAGTGTAGGGCTTTTTATTAGAAAAAAGAGTTGTTCGAAAATATGCTGTGACTGCTAATATCTTAGGCAACAAAGAAGTGTGTGTTTACGCTTTATTATAATAGTATAGAAGTATAGATGATAGACGCCTATTTACAATCAAAACGGCAATATGTGCTGAGCATTTTCAGTTAATACGTGACGTCATAAAACCATCGGCATTTCTTTGCACGAGTAATATTCTTTGTGTTCTCTAGAATTAAAACACTAAAAGATGAACCGGCTTTTAAACGTTTGACATTTAAAAATTGATTCACTAATTATCTTCAAAACAACTTTAGAGCAATATCGTCATACTAAAATGTCAGTTAACTTTAGTTGAAGTAGTTTGTATTTATTAAAAGTATTTAGTTAAATATTGTAAAACAAAAAATACAACAATTAAAAAGTTACACAATCACAATTATTTTAACTAGCTTTCGCACGCGACTCCGTCCGCGTAGAATTAAAAAAAACAAAAGTGAGTAGCCTATATGTTCTTCCATACTACTCTCTACATCTATGCCAAATTTCATCGAAATCTGTTCAAACGTTTAGGCAACAAACTAACAAACATCCATCCATCTAAACTTTCGCATTTATAATATTAGTTCCTACTAATAATTATGCCGTAACACACATAAAAAAAAAATAGAAAAAAATATATCGACGAATTGAGTACCTCCTTCTTTTGGGAAGTCGGTCAATAAAACTACTAAAGACTTCCTGTCTTTCAGCCTTACAAATAAACGCGGTATTAAGTTAACCTTAGGAATAAACTGAGTATAAGCAAATATTAGTACAATTTTTGATTATACTCAGTTTATGTTAAAAATTTTATAATAACTTTATAAATAAATCTTTATAAATCCTATTCCTAAGTTTAACTTTATACCGCGTTTATTTGTAAGGCTGTTCATCTTTAAAAAAATATCATCAAATTTTACAAAGAGTGTTTCTAGGTAATAAACAAAATACAGCCGAATTAAGAAACCTTATTCTAAGACTATTAAACAGATTGTTAAGTAATTGTTGAAAACGGATAAAGCCAAACTTTATTTTAAAATTCCCACAATGTATCAGGAAAACTAAAATAACCTCGTTTCGCGCGAAATTTATTCAGTCACCGACTCACAATAGAAATCTCAGAGCTTTATATTCCTTGACAAACTACTTTATAAGGTCAGAGATATCGAAGATAGAAAGATACAAAAACCTGTTTCTTTTTCAGTATGATATTTAAAAAAACGTATTAAATCTCACAAACATATATTTATGTAGGCCCTTTGAGAATTTGAAGGATTTTCCATGATTCCAGGACATGTGTCAAAGTATCAATTGCAAATGTCAAAATGACATAACATGATGACAAACCATGGCAACCTTGCTTACTTGATGTTGGCAGCAACTTATGGTCGTTTTCCCACATTAGGGTTTTTATTCAAAATATTTACCCCCTAAGCGTAGGCGTGAAAAAATATAGCCTACAGCGTGTGAGCTATGTTACTGCGCCGGCGGCCCAACTTTAGTCCCTTTTCCTTCCCATCCTTTTTCTTATAAGTAAAGAATGGCAAGGGAACGTGGATTTGATGGCGCAAGAGACGCATAGGTAGGGGAAATATCCTCCTTATGTGCGTCTCCTCCGTCGATTAAGGGTAGGCGACGCATCTGCAATTGCGGATGTCTATGGGCAACGATCGCTTCGCCAGTTTAACGTATCGTTTGCTACAGTACGATATAAAAAAACGACCAAGAGCACTTCTAAATACAGATAAAAAATTAAAGTTCACTTGTCTTTACTATCTCTTTTTAATAACACTTCGGTTGAATTATGTATTGATTTGATCGATCGTTTCTTATAATAGACTAGTTGTCGCCAGTGACTTCATCCGCTTTAAATAAAAAAAAACTTGTCTGATAAACAATATCAAAAGTGACACAACCAGTATTATACTTCCAATTCAAAAGACTCAAAGCGATCAAAAACGCCTGAATCAAATTCGTCTGCACATATCAATTACTAGAGAATAAACTATTTCAATTAATTACCTACTTAACAATTTGTAAAAAAAACTCATCATTAGTGGACAAAACAAGACGTCTACTGCGAAAATCGACTTTAGTATTGATGTTATTTACCATGATCTGTTATTGTACAACTCTACAATAGTAGAGAAATACCACACAATTTACAACTATTCCCATAGAAAAAAATTATGATGGCAAAGAAACGTACTGGCTTTGCATAAATTGCTATCAGATAATGCGCTACTTTGTGGTTCTCGAAGTTAGTTCAATGCACGGACGACCTTGATTGACATAAATACCAACTTCCTGAACCTACGCCTCCAGATCCGTACTAACTTTAATATAAATAAGCTTCGGAGTAAGGACGGACATCAGTCACTTCAACAATGTTCAAGTTCGTAGTATTGTCCGCTCTTGTGTGCGCCGCTGTGGCTGAGCCTGGCGTGTTCCTGGCGCCCAGCACCTACGCAGCAACACTCCAGGCACCCGTCACCAGCACCTACGTGCAGCACGCCAGCACCGTCTACCCCGCGGCCGTGCCCAGCCTCTACTCCGGCCTGGCCTACCCACACTTCATCAAGAAACGTGAGGCGCAGTTCTACAACGGCTATATTAACGGAGCCTACGTCGCGCCCACAGCTCTAGCTACCCCGTACGCGTCCACCCTCGTAGCGCCCGCCGGCCTCGCGGCGTACTCGCCTGCTGTGCTGCCCTACGCTGCGCCTGCGCACTTCATCAAGAAGCGTTCCGCCTCCCCCTCCCCCGCGTTGATCGCCTCCTCCACCTACGTCGCTCCCGCACCCATCGCCTCCACCTACATCACCTCGCCCCTCGCTGCCACTTACTCTGCACCCATCTACTCCAGTGCTGCATACTATCCTTACAATACCTACAACGCAGGATTCCCTTTCATCAAGAAGTAATTTGAATTATAGCACCTTAATACAAGTTTCCTTGGGAAAATCTGAACCACCATTCAAGTTTACATACAAACATGTGCAACATAAAAAAACTGTAATACACTAGCATAACTTTTTAAATCTGAAAATCATAGAATTCAACCGAGTGCCATAACAATTTTGTAGTAAATAAATGCATACCTGTAGATAAATATGTTTTTAAATTTAAAACTACCTACTATACTCCCATAATACAATTCTTAATCATAATAATATTATAAATGTGAAAGTTTAGATGGATGGATGAAGGTATGTTTATTAGAGTTTTAGCCTAAACGGCTGAACGGTTCTCGTTGAAATTTGGCATAGACATAAATAGTCTGGAAGATCACATAGGCTACTTGCTTTTGATCTTTTAGTATCACGCGAACGGAGTCGCAGGCGAAAGCTAGTTTATATAACAATCCTTAATATCAATCGCACATTGAGCTACATATGAAATTTTAACATGACTTGTTCTAACTTATGATTTTTAAAATAAAATATTTGAAACTAAAACCTTCTGACAATATTTTTATAAATATATTCCGCGCCGACCCTACGGGAATAGAATAAGGAGAAAGATGATGATATATTATGAACACATGTTTTCTGTAAACCGTAAACTCAACCCTAGGTTGGGCTTTGGCTCCCTATGATTGAGTTTATACATATTTTTATTTATTTATTAAGATAAACCAGCAGGACAAAATTATAACACATACATTTTTACACAATACAATAAGTAACATGCAGATAATTTGTCCTAATTATAGGTTTACACGACATACATAGAAAAATAACAACAGTAGACAGAATGCGTTTTTATCTATTTTTAATGAACCCAAAATATACTATTTTAATAACGATGTTACGTGGTAAGTTTTAGCCATACAAAAGTCGGGCGGGAAATGGAAGTGATTCCGCTTTTAGTCTGATGACTTTTCTTGGAAGATAAGTGAATTTTAGGGGGATGGAAGAAGTACGGGAAGGTGAAATATTCTCTTAGTTTACGTCTCCTACTCTGGTCCTTTTAAAGCAACAGCAACCTTTTTATTAGATACTAGTTTCACCCGCGACTCTGTCCGCGTGGAATGAAAAAAGAAACAAAAGTAAGTAGAAAATGTGTTCTGGACTATCCTCCACACCTATGCCAAATTTTATCGAGATCCGTTCAACCGTTTAGGCTACAAACTCTAACAAACATCCATCCATCTAAAATTTCGCATTAATAACATTAAGTTAGAAATTACATTGACAGGGACATATTTAAATTCAAGTTATTGCTTGGTAACATAAAGGCTGAAATATACTACGTTAAAAAAATCAAGAGTTTGTTTTGGTACGAAAGAGTAGATAGTTACGTCCAAGTTTATTGTGTAAATATTTAAATAATGGTTAGGGATATTAAATTAAAATAAAATGTATTTCAGGTGTTTCTTTATTCAATTACTGAAGACGAACTTCATGATCATTTACTGCATGTAGTATTAAACTGCAGTATTTTGATAGTTTGGATTTTTACTTCTTGATGAAAGGGAATCCTGCGTTGTAGGTATTGTAAGGATAGTATGCAGCACTGGAGTAGATGGGTGCAGAGTAAGTGGCAGCGAGGGGCGAGGTGATGTAGGTGGAGGCGATGGGTGCGGGGGCGACGTAGGTGGAGGAGGCAATCAACGCGGGGGAGGGGGAGGCGGAACGCTTCTTGATGAAGTGCGCAGGCGCAGCGTAGGGCAGCACAGCAGGCGAGTACGCCGCGAGGCCGGCGGGCGCTACGAGAGTGGATGCGTACGGGGTAGCTATGGCTGTGGGCGCGACGTAGGCTCCGTTAATGTAGCCGTTGTAGAACTGCGCCTCACGCTTCTTGATGAAGTGCGGGTAGGCCAGGCCGGAGTAGAGGCTGGGCACGGCCGCGGGGTAGACGGTGCTGGCGTGCTGCACGTAGGTGCTGGTGACGGGTGCCTGGAGTGTCGCAGCGTACGTGCTGGGCGCCAGGAACACGCCGGGCTCAGCCACAGCGGCGCACACAAGAGCGGACAATACTACAAACTTGAACATTGTTGAAGTGACTGATGCCGGTTAATCTTGCCTTAGCGTATTTATACGAAAGCTTCAATTGAGATAAATAATTGCGACTTAGTTCAACGATCGGCATACTCTGACTCAGGAAGCTTGATATTTATTTGAAGGTTATCAAGATGTCTACTAAAAACTGAACCTAATTTTTGTTCAGGCATTAACAGCTAATGTTGTACCCACAATGATTGCCCGACTCCCCAAAAGAAGGAGGTACTCAATTCGTCTGTATGTTTTTTATTATCTTGTAGATTCTAACATTAGTTATTTAAACAATCTTATCTTACTAATATTTAAATGCAAAAGTTTAGATGATATATGTTTGTTGGAAGTTATCTCCAGAACGGCGAATCTGGCACAGACGTAGAACATATCATAATCTGAAGGAATACAGAGGCTAGTTACTAAAACCCATTTTACGACGACGAAGTTGCAAATAAAGGGTACGTAAAAAATAAATAAACCCGTAATGGATTACCTGGAGGTAACAAAATAAGAATACAAATCAACCTTCAGTCTTTAGTTAAGTACTGGAAGTACCTTGAAAATGAAATAAAACAATTTCCAAGCTATTTCAGTCATGCTAGGATTTTAATCTACACCTTTTACAGATTGTGTCCACTTCCTAAACCGCTAATAATTAAAAACAATACTACATGTATTGTTTTTAATTATTTTTGGTGAATATTTCAGAGGACCTGGCATGAAAATTTCCAAGAATTCGTATCGAAGGCGATAAAATTGTCCGCGCTAGTACTCAAAACTTAAACGAAAATGGAATTGTTCCAAGTGCTAAATAGTATGGGTAAGGTCTAAAAAAAAAAATATATATTTAGATCAATCAATCACATTTGTCGTTTTTTTTCTTTAAAGTTTTACACGCAATCATATTTTTAATGCATGACTCACAAGTCGTCATGTCCCAGGCCTTTTCCCTATGAAGGGTTAGCAGAGTAACTACTTTTCCATCGTCTCATCAGCCGTCATATCTAAATTCATCCATAAATTGATATGTTTGTTTATTATTATTATTATTTTGTTTATTATTCGTCTATTAGCCTGAAATATTAAAACTTGAAACAACGAACAAAACCGGCTTCACTTTTACTATACACCACTCAAATGTGAAGGCGGTTCATTGTTCAATGTTCTGGATCGATACCAATTAAATTTTATTTAAATTTATTATTGCAAATAAAACAAAACTGTTGCTATGCTGAGACAGCTTGCTTGCGCCTGAGTCCTTGTTGCTGTTTGTTGGACTATAAACCAAAGATTAGTTTAGTATGTATGGCATTATTGCGTTTTTTTCCTGCATTTGTTTTAGTTCAAGAAATGACTTTCGAAACCATCAAAACAAACAATGCAACAAAATTATTAAATGCCAAACAGGTATCACTGCCTACCTCTTTGAATAACGAAGCGTTATATATGTTAAGTTTACCAAATAAGAAACTTTAAACTAATCTATTTACATACATACTCATATCGTAAATTTAAAATTTAACAAAGAGAAATAAGTTCCGATAGATAAGCTACATACAAAAGCTCTTCAATGACCTTGTAAATAAAGATCAAGCTTCCTGTCTTAATCTTTGTACGGACAACAAGCACCGCCTACGAAATTAAAAACATATAAATAGGTCGCTTTCATCTGTACAGGCATCAGTCACTTCAACAATGTTCAAGTTTGTAGTATTGTCCGCTCTTGTGTGCGCCGCTGTGGCTGAGCCCGGCGTGTTCCTGGCGCCCAGCACCTACGCGGCGACACTCCAGGCACCCGTCACCAGCACCTACGTGCAGCACGCCAGCACCGTCTATCCCGCGGCCGTGCCCAGCCTGTACTCCGGCCTGGCCTACCCGCACTTCATCAAAAAGCGTGAGGCGCAGTTCTACAACGGATACATTAACGGAGCCTACGTCGCGCCCACAGCCCTAGCTACCCCGTACGCGTCCACTCTCGTTGCGCCCGCCGGCCTTGCGGCGTACTCGCCTGCTGTGCTGCCCTACGCTGCGCCTGCACACTTCATCAAGAAGCGTTCCGCCTCCCCCTCCCCCGCGCTGATCGCCTCCTCCACCTACGTCGCTCCCGCACCCATCGCCTCCACATACATCACCTCCGCTCCCCTCGCTGCCACTTACTCTGCACCCTTCTACTCCAGTGCTGCCTACTATCCTTACACCTACAACGCTGGATTCCCATTCATCAAGAAGTAAGATGTTAACCTTCTGAAGAAGTCTCGGAGTGTAGTTTCTCACATCAATTGAAAACTCAAGATGATTTATCTTGATATTCATCAATTTAATTAAAAACTGTATGTGAGATGTTGTTTTTTTCTTTAATATCCTTATGCAGTATTGAATCTTAGAAGTTTTTAAACACCTCCCAGATGTAAATTTCTAGTAGTAAAAAAGTAACACACATCTGAATAAATTACTTACCTTTACGACCAACACTTAACTTAAAATAACTGGTTGATGATCTACTGATCTTTTGTCACAAACTAAATTAAACAATGAAAAAAATATTTAACATAGAGTAGTTAATATTAGTTCTTTCCTTGAATAGATATAATTATTATTTACTTTTCTCTATATTTATTTACATTGGAATTAGATAAGCTTGTTAATCGATTTTATTTTTATAATCAATGCTAATATTATAAAGAGGAAAGATTTGTGTTTTTTATGTATTGGAACTCAAAAACTACTGGCCCGATTTCAATTCTTACACCATTTTAAAGCTACATTATCAGTGAGTAACATAGGCTATGTTTTTTTATTTTTATTTTCACACCGAGTAATATAAAATAAGATAAATCAAGACTTAACTAAAAATACCTGAAAATAATTGAATGTTAATCTTTTGGTCTTCGTATTGATTGCACCTGTTCATTGATGTCAACAATCATTTCTGCTGACTTTTGAATGTTTTCGAACTGATATCCAATATGTATACCAATAAGCTGCATCTTCTTTAAATTCTCTTCACTATTTTCCATTATATGTTCTACTGCAGCCATATCACGTGCTGCTTTTGACAGCTGCAATAAAAAAAAATGAAAACGAAATTGGTTTCTAAGCTAATGCCATTCCGAGATCCCATTGCAGAGACATTCAGCATAAATAACAATAGACAGGACATTAACTAAATTAAAAATTGATAACTTTTTACTCCTACGTTCTAAATCGAGTTTTTAATGTCCACAGGTGAAGTTGACTTATTTTGAAAGTTCCCACTTAAGTTTATGCTAACGAAAATAATGTTTTTAAGGAAATATTTTGAGCATTCGCTGTACGGCTGATTTATTTGAATATCTTTGGTCCATCTATACAACACATCGAGTTTAACAAATGATAATGGATTTTAAATGCAATCTACCTCATTAGATTTAGATCCTCGTTGTATTTGTCTAGCGAGAGAAGAAATGTTGTTCATGTTAACTTGCACCCGTTCAGCCAATCTTTGCTTTGATTCGGCGAATAAGGAACGAGCACTGCTAGAGGATGCTGACGTCATTGTACCCTCTCTAGTCTTATAATAGCCTAAACCGGTATCTTAAAAAACAAGACTACTCGTATTATATTTACAACTGCCTTATATTTAAGTTTTCTCGATTATTTTGCTGATTTAATATTTCTCTAGTCAATGTCACTGTCATCTGTCAGTCCGTCAGCTGTTGTCATTCGTAGAGAGATGTTAGTTAGTGATGTTTGCGCGATATAAGTCATCGACATTTTAAATTGATTTCATCAGATGGAATCGTTTTTTATTTGACAAAACGAGAAAATTCTCATTTTAAATAAACTTTCTACAAATTCTTCCTTTTTCGCTATTGCTCATCTCACATCATGTTTCTCTCTATCAGTATATTTGAATTTATATTAAGATGTATAAAAAGAATTGTTTAGTGCTTTTACTTTTAGTTAAAAGCAATTTTTTATATTAAAACGCTATAAATCATCACTATCGTAACGATTACATTTTAATCTATGCACAGCATGTGCGAAATGCATTCGATTAATTTGTTTATCTGTATGTGAACCTGACTTTTTGCTCGTCACGGAACATTTTGTTGTAGGAAATTTCTGTAATTTTAATTCAATAATTAGCTTTAACTACGAAATGTTTCTTTTTAATCAATTTCTTTTTTATTTCTTGATTTTTCCTGATTTTTTCTTACTGTCTTGTGAAGTGTAGAAAATGACATTTCCTGTATTTACAAAAGCTTTGATACATTGAAATTTTCTTCGTATTTACGTATAATTCGGAACAAAACCTTGCTGCTTCGCGTGATGGATAAGGGCGTGACTTGTGAGCATCTTAATAAGTTGGTTGATGTACTTGGGAAGGAATTATGGCAATCAAGCGAGGTAAGCAGTAAGTTAAATTAGTGCCTAACCTCATCAACTAGTATAATTATCATTCATATATTAAGTTGTCATTATGCAATGTACTGGTCGGCGGGAATTGTAACATTTAATACAGGTTCTATTTTAAGACGAAAATATCACAAGAATACAATGGAAGTTGTAGGAAATTGATATACTTAGTTGCGTTTTTGTTTACATTTTATTGATCAGTTGTAGGCATCTTTGTTTTCTTACGATCACATACAATCAATCTTGATGGTTATTGTGTAAATTTTGTTAAGAATACCAAGTGTTTTCTTACATTACATACAAACTAAAACACAAAGGAAATTGACATTATTCAATTTCACCGTTTTTAAACATTAAGACAGAAAAATACCTCTTATTATCTTTTTTTATAAAAAAAAAAATAATACAAGATGATAGTCTTATATTAAAAATGATGATAAAATGTGTGCTTAAATGTAGTGTTGAATGTAAAAAAAAAACACATAATGAATATTTAATTTCATATAATGTTTTTTAACCACAATATCTTTTGCTCACAAATCCATTTGAACAGATTAAAAAATTGTATAAAATGCCTATTCCACATAGTGATAACATTGTTTTTTAATGGTGAAAGAATGTTTGAAATTGGACCAGTAGTTTTTTAAGTTATTTCAATCATAATTCATACTAACATTATAAATGCGAAAGTTTAGATGGATGTTTGTTATATTTTGTAGTCTAAATGGCTGAAATGATATTGATGAAATTTGGTATAAATGTAGAGGATAGTCTAAATGAATATATAGGCTATACTCACTTTTGTTTTTTTTTTAATTTAACATGTACGGAGTCGTGGTCGGAAGCTAGTACATACATAAATACCAAATCATTCTTCTATAATATTAGTATAGATATTCAAATGATTCAATATAATGATATTTACTATCCAAAATTTTCAAGTCATATGACAATCATTTAATCTTGATTCAATCAGCACTTGGTAACATAAAAATTATTATTCACTCAAAGGACTTTGTTCCTTTTTATTGTCTTATATTATCTGTGGTGCATTTTATTACCAAGTTCTCACACATTTACTCCTGACATACTACTATCTCTTTTTGATTAAAAATTAAGATTGTCTTTGATGGACCAATTTCTAATCCTCTCTTCGCTCTCTCTTCTACCATCCTTGTGACATCCTGATACAAAGGACAAACGAAATTCTACTATGTTTAATTTAGTTAAAGTCTATTTTGGTTTGTCATAGTATTTTATATGAGCTGCAAAAATGTAGCCTATAATATGCCTGTCTATGTCAACTACCCTTCAGTGAAAGTCCCGTCGAAATTAGAACAGCCATTTTGTAGATTACCCAGAACAAATGTGGCTTGTGGACATTCAGACAAATAGACAAAAAAGTTTAAAAGCAATTTATGTTATCAGCAATGCAAATACACCTTCCCGAAATCTAGATGTTTTTAAATATAACAAACAGACATTCCAATCTGACTAATATTATAAATTTGAAAGTTTAGATAGATGGATGGATGTTTGTTAGAGTTTGTAGCTTAAACTGCTGTACGGATCTCAATGAAATTTGGCATAGATGTTGAGTATTGTCTATAAGAACACATAGGCTACTTACTTTTGTTTTTGTTAATTTCAGCTAGTTTTATTATATATAGATAAAAAATATATGATACCATTTACTTAAAAAATTCATCTGGCCACACATATCTGTACTGTTGTATTATGTTAACCAATATAATATTTCCAGGAGTTAACATGTTTCGACTGTGGTGCCTGTGGACCCAATCTCTGGATCTGCCTGCAACCTGACTGCCATCACATCGGCTGCTCTGAAGTTAAAAATGACCATAGCACAATACATCAAAAGGTTAGTTTAATAGTATGTACTATTTTTAATGTAAGTACAGTCAGCTTTAAAAATATGCCTATACTAAAAAAACTTAAGAAACTTGAATACCCAGAGCGGGCGGAACACTTTTGACTAAATTATCAAACAACTATTGTACGATTGTTGATTGTTTTGCAGCAAATTCAACTGTTTAGTTGTACAACTAAAATTCTGGTAGTGTGTGCTTCATATATGCTCATAGGAATCAAAGTGAGACAAAACAGTTGTGTAATAGTTTAATCAAAGAGGTACAGGTGCTCCTATGATTTTAAAAATACCAATACATTTAGTGATTATTAACACATCCAAATTCTGAAGCATAAAGATGTTACACGCATAATATTGCTAATAAATGTGTATAAAAGATTTCGCAGATTTGTAATTTAATATGTTTTATGTAGCTGACTGTACCTACTAGTAAATGTTTATGTCTAGTAGTTTGAAGGTCAAACTTTAAAATGTAAAACTTGCCTTTTTAGCTTAATAAATGTAGATATGATTATAATATCTCTAAGAGCCCATCCCACCAAATTGTAAATTGTCTGATAACAATCCAACATGCAAAATATGTGATTGAAATATCGGATTTTGTTCCCTTATCTGACAGTGACGTTATTTTTGAGCTATTTGAGCCTCTAGCCAGTGGTGGGATAGGCCCTTAAAATATTGTTAAGAAAATTTTAAATATATAAGGATTATCGCAACTTACATTGCATCTAAAAAGCCTTTACCTTATTTACCTTAGATAAATGTTTAAAGAATTGATTACTATGAATATGTTTGCAAATATGAAACGAAGATGCAAGTAACAAAGTACATCTCACATGATATGCAATATTGACGTAAAAACAGAATAAAAACAGTTTAACATTGCAAAAACTTATGAGATCAGGATATTAAGTATAGAGTTATATTTTGTACCTATATTTTGGTATTTAATGTTTAAAATAACTTATATGTACAAAATTAAGCATTCTAAATAACAATATTGAAAACGAAAATTAGCTTGTTGATTGCTTTTGTAATCCTAAGATAGGTTACGTTAAAAAAAATGTAGCTGTTTCTGGCAACTTTGGCCGCGTGAATTTAAAAATATATCCTATGTTACTGTTTACTGTAACAGATAATGTTTTTGATGGTAACAGAATTTTTGAAATCGTACCAGTAGTTTTTGAGTTATTCCAATACAAAATTTTGACGGTGGAGGAGACACCTATGTGTCCTTCCTATGAAGGGGATATGCCCTCTGTATGTGCGTCTCCTCATCCTTCAATTAAGGGTAGGCAACGCATCTGCAATTGCGGATGTTTATGGGCTGCGGTCGCTTTCGATTTCGGTGCATTCAGGTGGTCGCTTGCTCGTTTGCCGCCTTATATTTTAAAAAAAAATCTCTCTTTATAATATTGGTATAGAATATAGAATAACAAATTTAGATAAGAAAATCTGATTTCCGAATGTTTCTTATGTTTGACCATAAATCAAACCGCAAACCCAAAACCCATAAGAGCTATAATTAACTATTATAATGTACAAACTTATAGCCGCTCGTCTAGCGAGCGTGTCTCAACATTCTGTTTTGTTCATCTCGTAAGAATTTGCAAGTCACTGTAAAGATTGGATGTAACATACATACATACATATTTTATTACTGTAACTAGAATTGCGTAAACAAATGTATGTAACAAAAGATGTCGCATTGTATATGCGACTGGTAATTATTCATTTCCGATGTAGGATATCGCGTTAAGAACTTTGAACCCTCATTGAATATTCTTACGTATAAAACGTTTAATGTCTAACCAGAAGTCGTAAGGTATTTACTTACTTTTAAATAAAAATATATCGGATTTAGAACTTCCTTTAAATTAAAAATCTTTGTGGTTACTCTATAGAAACAGATCAAAGGGTTTCTATGATTTTTTATGTTCAAATGTTAAACAAGGTGTATTACTGTCATCTTCTACAACTATCTGTTTTTGACCGACTTCCCAAAAGACGGAGGTACTCAATTCGTCTGTATGTTTTTTTTTTTAATATTTTCATGTGTGTTTGGGCATAACTCCGCCGCTACTGGACCGATTTTGATAATTCTTTTTTTATCCGAAAGGTATAGCTTGCAGGTGGGTGGGGATTTTTTGTACATGGGAAATTAAGCGCTAAAGAAAACATAAGAAATGACCTTAAGTACTGTAGGTATGCAAAAAATCCTAAAGTTATATTTCGTACTAGTAGGTTATTAAGAATTTAAAATATATGTTTTAAATATAAATATTTAATAAATCGTTTGCCAGCTTAAAAATACTTAACACATCACGAGCTCATCGCGCTATAATAAAATATAATCGTTAAATTACGTGCGAAAACTTTCCATAATACGAAATGCAATCAATAAAATTTTCATATTTTATTTAGTTAAATAGTTACTAGGTGGAAACAATCTACTCTGTTGTTTTCAAGGAGAATGTAAGGGAGAGATGTTTTAGTAGAAACCTTCACCATTATTCTGCAACGAATATTATATTTGTTACTATAAACTGCGTCTAAAACTATTTGAAACACGTGTACCTATCAATTTGCTATTCTAAATTCAACTACAACCCTTTGTTTTAAGGTTTGTAATCCTTTGATAACATGTAATTGAGTGAGGTTTCAGGTGTAGATATAATATCAATATCTTATCAACTGAACTGATTGTTTAAATAAATCTTCGACACAGTAACTAGATGACCGTGAAATGTTACATTGCTTTTTTATATATCATAAGGTGGTAAATAAGCAAGCGGCCACCTCAATCCGTCAAACTGGCGAAGCGATCGCTTCCCGTAGACATTTGTAATAGCGGATGCGTTGCCATCGACGGAGAAGGCGCACATTAAGAAGATATTTCCCCTTCCTATGCGTCTCCTGCAACGTCAAATCCACGTTCCCTTCCCATCCTTTTCTTTAAATAAAAGGGTTGAAAGGAAAAGGTACTAAAGTTGGGCCTCCGGCGTTAACATGTAGCATGACATGTTGAGTAAAAACGACTATACTCTCGTTGAGTTGACCTTGATTTTACTTAAGGGTCTAGTTTTAACTACTCGAAGCCTAACGCTTTCATTTAAATATTCTTTCTTGATAACATAATGCCGGAACTAGGTTTTATATAAGCTAAGGACCTGCATACATTAAATATCTTCAATTATCAACAAACGTACGAAACGATATTGTTATTTTATCTTTATAGAATAGAATGGCGGCCGAATACTTAACTTCAAACTATACGCTAATAGACGAAGTGTCTTTGATTCGTTTCAGTATTCGGTCATGAGATTGATAAAAGTATGTTTTTATATGTGTTTCTGCAGTGGAAACTCGCGTTTGATATCAAATTCATTTGTTTTCAGAACTATACTTCACATTGTGTGCATATGAACGTTTCCACTGAGAGGATATGGTGTTATTTGTGCGAAAAGGAGGTGCATATAAGAGCGGCTGTTGCCCATGCGGCGGTGAGTATTATCCGGACCATTTTACTTACATAGAGACAGCACATTATCTACTACTTCCATACATCTCGAATATCATATCTGAATTCACCCCCTATATCATCTTTCACCTAATCTTACTAATATTATAAATGCGAAAGTTTGGATGGATGTTTGTTAGAGCTTGTAGTCTAAAACTGTTCAACTTGTGAATTAACGCATATGTTATTTGCTTTTGTTTTATTTTTTTTTATATACTTTGTTCCGTCTTCCTCTACCTTTATAGTCATCAACAATCGATCTTATTTTATATAAGTTTCTATTTATATCGCAGATTAATTGTCAGTCCGCAACTATACAATTAATATGCTCACCGGATGCAATACCATGACCATTCAGAGGTCATATATCAAGTAGAAATCATTCTGCGTTTCTCCAGATGACTAATTCTCATCCTCCAAATAACTCGTATCATCCGTCGTCTCAGTCATATCTCCCTTTTTGGTCATATCACCTTTTGAGCTATCCATCCATCTGTTTCTAGGTCTACCTCTACCGGTGTACCTGCACACTCCTATTGTTCTCCTTATAACATGTACATACCATGCTAAACTTTTACTCCTTAATTTCTCTACCACAGGGACATCTTTAAGGGCCTGTCCCACCAAATTGTAAATTGTCTGATAACAATCCAACGTATATGTGATGGAAATATCGGATTTCATTTCTTATCTGACAATGACGTCATTTTTATGCTATCTGAGCCTCTATCAGTGGTGGGACCGGTCCTTAGACTTATAAATAAACTCTTCATATCTTCCGTATTTATCTGTTTAATAAACTTTACGTAACAAAGTACATTTGTTTACAATTACAATGAGTTGTTTTGTCTCGCTGTGTGGTCGAGAGCTGTATAGCATATCAAGTATAAGTACTTAGTTTTGTTACAAGAATAGCCACTTCAGTGTCAATTACGTGATGTATATGACAAGGAAATCGATCAGGGTTTTCTTAAATCTTTAACAGCGAAAGTTTTGATGCATAAATGTTTTATAGAGTTTGTAGCCTAGACTGCTTAACAGATCTCGGTAAAATTAAGTATATGCAGAAGTTTGAAAGAACACAGGCTATTTATTTTGTTTTTTTAATTACATGTTACTACTCAATAGTTTTCGATGAAATTCTGTGTTGATGTAGAGCATAGTCTGGAAAAACTCATAGGCTAGGCACACTTTTTTTTTTAATTTCACGCGAACGGAGTCGCGGGCGAAAGCTAGTAAATAAATAAATAAACAACGGATGGGATCAACACGAGAGGAATCCGGAAAAATCTTATTTGTAAAATCATCAATTTATTAGAGATATTTGCGTACTATTTCCAGATGTGTCCGGACTCGACGACGTTAGACAGTTCTATCGGCGCGAGGCTTGGCAGCTACGGCATCAGCGGAGATGATGACCTGGATCCTGATGATATGGACTATGATGATGATACCCAGTCTAGAGGTAAACCAACAGTATCTGAGGTTAGAACACAGACATATAAAGATTTATAGACATGAACAACATTTTTTGCACCGGTACTTTCTCTGAAAGGTTATATCTACTACTATATCAATTTAGTGCCACCTCATGCCCTTATATTGACAAGTAACATTTTACAAAATTATAATAAGCAGCATTTTTCGTTGTAAAATAAATTTTCATACGGTTTTGAGGATCTATTCAATAGATAGCGTCAGTGAGATCATGTGATTTTTTTTTCAAGTGTCAACTATGCCTCCTTTATATACTTTTTTATATCTGTGGGTTAGAAGCACTGCTATCGAAACACTGGCAAAAAATATTTAAAACTTCCATACTTAAAATGACAGTACAATATCTTGTGACACTGACTGAAAATCCATACCGGTACAAATATACTTCAAGTAATAACATCTACGTGATTATGTTTAGTAAAAAATTGTACTATTCTACAAACTATAGGTCAATGCTAAAGTTTTCTGACGAAATTCATATCTGATTGCATCATATTGATAAACGTCTTGTCTGTCGCTAAGTGGATTTTTATATTTCGATTTAAATAACTTATCTTACTAATGTAATTGCAAATCTCTCTGTAGTTACCCTTTTCTTGTAGAAAGAGTGCATTTTGACATTAACAAGCCAAATTGAACCCAATTTAATAAAACATAAGGTCGAATCCAATAGACGTAATTACTCAATATATAAAACCAATATAAATTGAGCCTTGTTCACTACAACATAAGGTGGAATCCAGCAGGTCTGGTGGGTCTGCAGAACATGGGCAACACGTGCTACATGAACGCGGCGCTGCAGGCGCTCAGCAACTCGCAGCCCTTCACCTCCTACTTCCTGGAGTGCGCGGCCGCCGTCGCCGTCTTAGCCGGCGATAAGAAACCGGGACTAAGCAGGTATGAGGGAAATACGACTTTATTACAAAGGTATTTGACTCAAATTTAACCGAACAACGAGCGAAAAAAAAATAGCTGCTAAAACTTAATAAATACCGCCTTTTACTGTACTAGTTGTTGCTCGCGACTTCGTCTGCGTAAGAAATAATAAAAATGTAGCCTATCTTACTCACTGATAATATAGCTTTTTAATGGTGAAATAATTTTAAATCGGTTCAATAGTCTTTGTGTTATTTCGATACATACAAAAATACAAATCTTTCTTCTTTATAATATTAGTATAGATACAGAAAAGCAATTATTTTAAGCTACATGTTTAATACGTGCATAATAATATCCTTCTCTAAGATCTTACATTTTTAGTTTACAATCTGACAAATGTCAGATTGTAGTGCACAGTTTTTTTAAGATAGTGTTACAAAAAAGTTCTAACTAAATGTTGGAATTTATGTAATTTTTTTTCAGAGCATACCAAAAATTAATCAAAGAAATGTGGAGTAAGAAAACTAGAGGCTATCTTGTACCTAATGGTATATTATATGGTATACGGAATGTAAGTATTCTACAGAAGTTCATGTTTTTTTTTATTTAACTCTCTGTCCATACATATGTACACAGGATTGTTAAGTTATCGTTCCGAATGTGTTATTTTCGTCAATCGTAAATTTCCCTCTTTCTTTCAATATACAAAAACCACTTTATTCTACGTAGTTATCAGTCTGTAGTAGAAACCATTTTTAACAAACTGTGACAACCCTAGGTCGTGTAAAATCATTTTTCTATATCCAGCTGAAAATAGAGCAAATTATGACGAGAATAGTATCAAAAGAACGACTTAGTATATGCGTCTCTTTCTATCAACGCCTAAACCGATTCCTTATGTAATGAAATATTGAAAGCAGAGTTTTAATACAGTTTCTTTTACTTCACCACACGACATTTCTTTGACATGATCATTTTATGTCACTACTAATATCAATATATATGTCTTTTTTTAAAGATTGTTAACTTTAACACCTCTCACTCTGTCTTAGGGTTGTCACAAATCTAATTCCAGGTATACCCGATGTTCCGCGGCTACCAGCAGCACGACACGCAGGAGTTCCTGCGCTGCTTCATGGATCAGTTGCACGAGGAACTCAAAGAACCGGTATGAACCAGTTTACTATAAGAGTGAAGACATTTAAATTATATATAGACCAGGCAGTGGACAAAAAATCACCAGTACTTTCTCTGAATGGTACAATATCAGTCAAAAAGTTCTATCCTTGTATTAACGTAATAAAACATTTTAATAATAATAAGCTTTTGTTGTAAAATAATGTAAATTTTTTCAAAAACAATTTAAATACAATTAGGTGAGAGTTAAGTGAAATTATGTGAAAAATGTTTCAAGTGAAATGTCAACTATGCCTGTTCTATATATTTTTGAATCTCTTTGGAATTAGACGTCGAATAACCGCGCGGTTTCGGGTGGTACATTACACGCACTTGTAAAAAATGTCATGCGAGAAAAAGACAATTAATAACAGCAAGACGCAAAATTGCCATAGCATCGGTTATTGTTAGCCAACGGCAAAAGCGTACGTTTCATTTGTGAATTTCTAATTTAGACATTTGCA